ACTGGCACGGCTGCAGAAAAGAAGGTAAATGAGTCGTCACATTTTAAATATCGGCCTATATACTCGCCTATATGTTACGCGTGTGTAAAGGGAACCTGTCTCTGCTTCCTACTCACTGTTGTCTTTCTGAAGGCTGTGACAGCGCATTATGAAGCTGAATGCGGGGCGTATTTATACCCAGGTGATATCTGGCCCGCTCGGAAATCAGGATTTTGTTGAAATTAAGCATTAAGGATAGTCACAGTATGAATCACTTTCGACTGAGTTTGATTGTAGAGGATGTACGCAAGACAATCTGGTGCCGGATTCTGTCTCAGATCAAGGGGTTTATTTTGAGCACACATTGTGCCGCTGCCTTCCCACAGTTCAATGTTGTTCAGGTGTGGCAACCCTGAGCGCGTCTTACCTGCGATAGTACTAACGGCTCACACAGTCACCTCTCATGTCGTCTAACGTGGTTGATGCATAAGCCGTTTGTGTGTTTGTGTGTGCGCAGGGGAGTTGGGGGTGGAGGCGGAACGTTGAACGGGGAACGCAGGGAGGAGTTAAATCAAAGTGGATGGTAGACTAATGGGGTCGCGTCTCAGCCAGAAAACACTGCCTGTAGCGCGAAGTGCTGCACAGTACTGTCAACTTCAACTTACCACAGGCTGACGTCTTAGAGGTCATGAATGCTGCATTGCGGAAAGGCTTTGCATTCTTGTCAATCGCCTGCAGAGTGAAATTGTAAATGGAAGATGGCTGCAGGTTGGTGAGTGTCATATCTGTCTTGCCCAGCTTATGGATCTTGAAGGAGGTCATATTGAAGATAGTGAGCAGATACTGGCGTCCCCATGGCTGTGAAATATTTGGTGCCTTCCAGGTCAGGTGGATAGTTGTGCAATTGAGAACCGATGCGCTGAAATCTTTTGGTACGGGCAGTTCTGCAGAGAAAGCGTCAATAAGCCGTTACTGTCAAGGAAATCTGAAACTCGTCCCCATGTTGGTACGTATGCAGAGAATGTGTGGTTTTGATCATTAGCGCTAAGTATGTGCATG